CATCTAGTTCTACGTGCACACACCTCCATCATCTAGTTCCACATGCCCACACCTCCATCCATCTAGTTCTACGTGCACACACCTCCATCATCTAGTTCCACATGCCCACACCTCCATCAATTCGTTCTACGTGCCCACACCACGACCTATTTAGTTCTGTGGCCACACACATCCACCCATCTCGTGATTGCCCACTAGATTAGCTGAAACACTTATCCAGACGGGGTCCAGACGTCCGTCTGTGAATAATTTCATAATAATTACAGCAGCACAACCGTCATATGACATGATCCAGTGGGAATTATTTTGTGCCATTACTGCCCACAGATCTTTACATAAACACTCACTCATATATAGAATCTAAGATCTGTGCACTGACCACACCCACACACACACTCGCACGCACGTACACCGTGATATGATGAGATACTCCGGAAACTGCACATTAATTGTGTTGTTTATTCGGTCATATTGTACAGTATATAAATTTGTGTTTATTCTTCTCCGGAACTCATCAAATACTCAATAGACGGGAACATGATAACTGGGAACATCATCGAGGGAATATCTTGGGATTTAACGAAGGTAGGTCTTATGATCAGAGAGTAATATTCAATGCGGCGCATTGACCCAATGGAAATGGCATAGGCCACAATAGAACCTTTCCCATTATCTTTGTAATACCTTGAAAACTCCAGATAAACCCGAAGTTTTACACCGATTTATACTGGTGCCACAAAAACACACTCAAAGCTGAACAAATAAAAATTTCGTCTGCACGCACGCTCACACACACCTGAAATCGTAAAGGTCTGTCAAATTTTGAGTGGATTGGTCCGTTGAGTAATTACGTAAGCCTGTTACATCATGCTGTTAGAAAACATTTTTACCTGCACTTCAGCCTCACCCGTATAGGCAGTGATTAGGCACTGTGATGTCATCCATCTAATCCCTATTTACGAGCGATTTAAGTGCCGCAGTGCGACAGGGCTCATCTGGTGTCTGGTGTTCTGCTGATAAATTCATTTGTGCATAGCAAGCCGTCTTATACATAAGTCTTCTTTATTCTTGTTTGACTTTCGTAGCCAATTGGAACAAATATATCAGCTACACTTTCGCACCCACCTAACCTCTATCATGCATTGCAGACACATGTCCATTGCAGGTTGGCAGGCAACAATTATGATTAGAAGCGTGCCAGCCATGGGCTTGCCCGTGTATTTGCCTACCCACACGAGCATTCACTGATTCAGCCGTCAGGGTGCTATAGAGACTGCTTTAGAAAATAATATGATTTAAGGAGTGTAAACCTTGTTCAACAAACATTTGTCTTTGCAATTAAACTGTGCAACTGTAGCCTCACATTCACACAGGTATAGGCTCTAATAATAGCAAAAGCAGTTCAGTCCTTTGTTAACAGTCAACAAATCAATGTTTAACCCTCCTCTTCAGGGTCAAAAGGTTATCCAACACTTACTCTTCGCATGTCAGTGGAAAGTACATTTCATGGTCCTTTCAATAAAGCCATAAAAATGGTAGGTCACCGCTGAAACAAAAAAGTTTTTCAATCGCTCCGTCAGACCATGTCCTCAGAAAATGTCTAAAATCTGCCCTGTGCCCCATTGACCTTTGACCTGTGACCTCCAATTTCGGCACAGTGATGGCTTTTTCTACCATGATGCTATACACCGACTATCACGAGCCTATGTCGAGCCATTTAGATTTGTGCCACAATTCTGCATTTCCTCCCTATACCTTAAGTTAAGGAGGGAATGTTCCCTTCTTTTACACCTCTTGACCTTTGACCCCCAGCTTCGACATCACAATTCCTTTTCGGATTAACCGACATACGGCGTACCTGACTACGTCAGATGAGCTAAAAACTTGCTTCTACAGCAACTGCTGCACATGTGCACAGCACACGCCAACAGAATGTTGAGCAGACGGCATTACAATGCTTATTTTGGGAGGATGAAAAAAGCGTACACGGTGCAACTTGAACTCTACTATTAGTGTAATGAAACTTGCGCGTGCGATGCCAGGAAATTTTAGTACGAACGCGTGCGCTAGCAACCACACGAACTTTTATGAAAACATTGCATTTGAAGTTCTACAATTCACTCTTTGTTTGTCTGAACGTCTACATCTATTACGACAGTAAACACGATGTTAGATCCAGTGTGTAGGGCAGAAACAGCCGTGAACATGTGGAAATTCTGTGGATGTGTAAGCAGCAAGAAGCATATTATTTGCCAAAAAAAAACAATAGCAGATAAATTGAGCATGTTATTAGTATGCACTCTACTTCATATAAAAGTGTCTGGTACAGGCAAATGTAAAGTTCCATTACATTGTAAAGTCTCTTAAAATAAGTTGTCTTAGAAGTACTCTCTGCAACTTTTATCAGTGTGGTGTAGGCAAGGATTTATACGTGTAACATATCATTAGCTCACAAACATGAACAAAATCATAGATACCACAATTTCATATACACGACTGTTATAATCCAAACTAATTGATATGTTAAGCGAGAATCATAAGATAGCAAATACAAAAGTCCTCCGTTCTTAAATACAAAGTTGTCTCTGTATTATTTTTAGTTGAAATTTGTTTACATCAGTTCTATGATACTGCATAACATGTAGAATCAAGCAAGGAAGTCGTGCGCGTGACGAACGAGAGTGAAGATGCCTGCCTGCTGAGACAACAGCACCAACAGAATAAACACTAAATGATCAGGTAGGAGAATTTACAAAACACACGACTCTGTGACAATTACTGTACACTTACAATTGCAGCAACTGATCAGAAACGAACTAACAAGCCAACGAGTCGAGATATTCGCTCTTCATGCCACTAGCGTCCTGCAATTCATATACGTAGCCCGCACAACTGTTCCTGTCATTGCAAGCTTTACACTAAACTCGGCACTGTGACACATTACGACTATTGATAAAATCTCCTGCTCCCCCAATCTACATAATCAATATGTTGCAAAACGTTTTTGTTTATATAATTTTGTCCCAAAGCAGTTTCCAATGTTTTTTTGTCGGCATTCTGGCAAAATAACAGCCAATTCAAAAACTAAAATGTTCGCCCTGCTCTGACAATCAGTTTGCACTAGACGATTCACTGTCATTGACCGATAATTAATATTAACATTATTTCATATCAATATACTAAAAGACAAGTAAAGAGGTTGGAAAGTAGACAGATTCTATGAAGTAGATGAACTAATGATTGATGTACACGTATTGAAGAAACCGAAGCAATCAGTTGATTCTGAAATACATACTATCCATTCTCACGAGCCGGGTAGCATTGGGCTAAGGTCAGAAGTTTACCTTTCTTGATGGGGAGTTACGTCGTTATCTAGGCAATGAGTTTTTCGCATAGGGTTGCATCTGTATGCAATAAAGAGTAAAGATAGCATGCTTGCATCTCTCGCTCATTTACTGCTCAGCAACAACATCATTGTAGAGAATTAGAAAGCTCACCATAATGATTCCTTTTGGGGTGGATACCAAGTTCGTACACATATCAACCATTGATTTCATCAACGCCTACAAAATCAGTCTAGCTAGGAAGTACAAAATAACATTACATCAGTAATAACCGACCGTCGACACATCTTCTCTTTTCATGAAGCAGCGCACACCAACCTCATGCGGGAAATTTTGTTCCGATTTGTCATGAATACACCTCTCTCCGGCTTTGTGGCTGGCACGGACAAGTGTTGCAATAAGTTATCACTGTTGTACGAGCACGAATGCCCACTGGTTGGCAGCAAGTTGAGCTGTGCTTAATTCCTTTCCCTGTCCCGCACCTTTTCCAGCACGTAGTCGTGCCCCACCTCACTCTGGTCAGTGCACTGGATCTCTGCATGGATACCCTGAAATTCAGAATATACAGATTACACATGCACACTAAACAAACAGCATTGTATGGCACTTTGTGCAGTTCCATTCCAACAGGCAGTAGTCATTCACGACGATGACATATTTGGTAAACATCAACATCGATGCTATCTACACCCATGATCTGTCTGTTTTTTCTATATACAATTACTGGGATGACCAGTTAATGTAACAATTAAAAAAGATATAATTTTGACTAAACAGACATTACAAATAGACAGAAAAACCTCGCACATACAGTATACAACATTTGCGGCAGTGCGATTTGGACAAAGTGGGGTAGTAGTAGTGAGAAATCCTAAGTAAAATAAAAAAATAGGTCCCAGCATCCAGTTTGCATCAGCACACCAATGAACAATCCTCGTTGGGAATTCATACCTGCAGTTTCTTCCTGATAGCACTTTTACTGCTAGTATACAACATCTTCCTCTTGATCTTTGCAGAGTCTGGACACCTGTGGCAAAATATAATACAAATATAAATAAACAGATATAATATATATATATATATATATATATTGAGATAAATGTATCATCTATCTATGTACTGAGTAAAGTTTTAGCCTTTTCTTAAAAATGGATGTGTGCTTTATTTATAAATGGAAAATAAAATAGAAGTTAGAAACATAGGCACAAGTGCATTATTAACTTTTTAAATGGTTTCATTTAAAGCCGCACTATGCGCATCCAAACGCTAATTTCTCCAGTACTAGACTAGCAAATACTTTGTGTCATGCATAATCACACTACCTTATGACAAAATAAACTCTAGTTCCTCCCATTTCACTGCGCGTTGTCTTATAAAAGGCATTTGAAAATACCACCAATGTTGTTTAAATTCTCCGATGTTGTTAACACTTTCGCGTTGCTCTGCCAAGCAACCGTGGAGCGGTGCTGCGATACAACGGTACGGGTGTAGCAAAGATAAAAACATGTGACGTCACCTAACCGATTCTTGGCAAAATTGTTTGGCAAACAATTTAGCGTTGGCGCCAGATTACCAGATTTCGCACCTCTTTCTTGTGGGTTTTAAGCAAACGCGCACTGAAATGGGAAGAACTAGTTTATTTTGCCATAAGGTAGTGTGATTATGCATGACACGAAGTATTTGCTAGTCTAGTACTGGAGAAATTAGCATTTGGATGGGCATAGTGCGGCTTTAACGTTGTTTCAGTAACACGGTATCCAGGAACCTAACTGTGGCGTTAATGAGAGAATGTGTTTATATATTATTGAAGAACTCAGGTATCACATTCTTTGTGCTCAACAGGAGATATGAACTGAGAGATGAGTCACACCACGAATAAACATATATATTCAAGTTGCTAGCCCCACCCAACAATTTGCAACACAGTATGTCATCGGCGTAATTCTTGTGACTCGGCTTAACCTGACGAGCAACTTATATCTAATAAACAACTTGCCTTGCTGATAACAAGATACACTGATTATAATTACGTACTCTGTAAAAATACACTTGTTAAATACAAAGAGACTATGAATACAGTTCTCACTGTTTCAATACCACTGTGATTTCGTTGTTATTCTATTTTTTAATATAGCAGATAGCCAGAAGTAAGGCCAGTTAGGAAGTTAGGACAAAATCTGGTCCTAGGGCCCAGGGCTCGAATTAACCGACGGCAATTGCCGTCGGTGCCCCTATCAATCGCCGTACTGCCCCTGAAAATCCAACCCGACCGACGGCAGTCACCTGCCTTGCCCTTTTGTGTAATTGCCGTCGGTGCCCTTTAATCTACTGCCCTAGTTTTGTTTTTAGTCGAATCAACATAACACGTGCGCGTGCGTGCTGTAGTTGCAATGATGAGCTAAAAACCGATAGTCGCAGGAGGGAATAATAACAGCATCGGATAATTATTTGCTCCTGATAGCGGGCATGTAAAATTTCTTGTTACTGTACTTCCATTAGCAGAGGTGGGTACAGGGGTCAGTGTTACGGTGTAAGCTTACATGGGGGCATATTGTTTTGTACATTAAAAGCAAGACGATGTTGATGTACTAATTTGTTATGAGTTTCCCTTTATTTTACAAAAGTGCCTTGGTGCCCTTCTCAAACTTTGAGAGTTGCCTTGGTGCCTTTCTATTTTAGAGAAAATTCAAGGCGATTTCTCACATGCCCTAAAAAAATTGCCTTGCCCTTCTCGTCGCTTAATTCGAGCCCTGCTAGGGCCGTAACCAAAAATCAGCTAATTACTAAGCCTTGAGTGGATAATCTAAAGGATTGAAAACTCGCTGCAAAAACACTAAAGAAATCACTATCGCTGCAGCATCACCAGTGTATGCTTGTCAGGGTGCGAAATTATCGGGAGTCCGGAGTCAAATACTCCCTGATTTATTGTCGGACTCCCTGATTTGACATATGCAGGAGTCCGTGTGACTCCCTGAAAATTATGCTATACTAACTAGTTCGTTCCAGAGCACGGCCTCACGGAATTCCCGTATTTTTCCCGCTAATGTCCAAAGAAAATTTGGCAATGTGCTACTGCATGAATCTTAAAAATAAGCACATGCGTTATTGTTAATATCTTAAATTTTGAACCTCAGACTGCGGACTCCCCCATTTTGCCACGGACTCCCTCTTTTTGAAGGTAGGGAGTCCGATGGACTCCCGTGTTCAAAAATCAATTTCTACCCCTGCTTGTCATATATATAATAACATGACATCAGGATTCATGGAATTGCAGCAATGAATCAGAAAGAACCTTGCATCAGCCTATTAGGTCATTCATCTTCCACACATGTACAGCACGAATGACACGACAATGCACAAGCCATGAGACTGACTAATGGATACAGCAGCTGGCCAGCTGGCTTCACTTTGAAGTGGCAACGGTCTTTACAATTTTTTAAAACAGATAACTGCCTGTACACAACTAACATAAAGAATATATTAGCACATCACACTCTGACTGCTCTGTAGCCCAGAGCAACAGCATTGAAACCATGCTACTGTTGTAGTTTTTTTTACACCAAATGACAACTTTGCTGGCTAACTGATTTGGTTCTCGAAGAGCTAAACTATTCACGTAAAGATACTCTCACACGAAACATGATAATATGATGGATGTTAAGACCAACATGCAACTGTTCCCCACTTCATTTTACTGCCATTCCAAATATTAAAAATATGACCCAGGAAACTAGCTTGAATGAGTTTGGTTGGTTACTGCATGTTTCTAAAAAGACTTACCATATGAAAAACAAGAGTTTGTTTTGTGTTAGGCTAGTACCACCAGTCCTCTCAATCAAGTAGTCAAAATCGAAAACGCCATATCGGCAGTCATGGACGACCTCTGCTTCTTTCAAGTGACCCACAAATTCCTCGTATGTCGCACCTGTGAAAAGAGAAATTACTAGTATTTACTCTAGGGTTGTTTGTATGCAATAAAATTTCATGCATAAGCGAACATTAATGCTTCTTTGAAACCATTTCTACACCAAAGCCTACACCCGAGGTGCACTTTCCGACCATTGTAGTTCAATGAATTAAAATCATGAGAAATTACCTTTAAAACATTAAAATGTACAAAATATTTCTATGCCGTGGCTTGAAAGGGGCTACTAGGGCTGTAACGATCCACCGAAATTGAATCGAATCGCAATTCTCTTCCCTCGATACTTTTTCCCGTATTTTCGATTTGATCCAACGCGCTAGTACTTTAGATGGTATGTGCCGGCCGATGCGTGAATGAGACGCGCTCTCTGATTGGTCAATAGTAACGACTTGCCAGGTAGCCAATCAGTGACTACAGCACATCCCCAACATGTTTACAGGGCTGGAGTTACCAGAGTTTGAGGACTCCGTACGGATTTGTAATTTCATAAACAAACCGATCCGCTCAAAATCTGACAAATCTGTACATAGAAAATATATGCCGTATTATATACCATCGAAAATAATGTTATTATTATTTCCTACGGAGGGCATCGAGTACGCAGAAATGGCCGCTGAAACGATGCGGGATCGACTGTGCGAACCATGTGCAAAATAATGAAAATATACAAAATAAGATAACATTTCAATATTTTGGGAATCGAATCGAAGGAATCGAATCGAGAGGCTAATATCGAGATACGGATCCAATTGAAAGGTATGTGTATCGTTACAGCCCTAGAGACCACCCTCATTAACACGTTCAATGCTGCCGGTGTTAACAATGCACCTACCGCCCTGCGCTGGGATTTTCGGGTTTTTACCGCGTGTTCACTATTTGATTTACCACATTTCCATTGCAGGAAAGCTAACCAAACTGACACATTTACTCTGCATGAGTGTTATCTCACTCTTACATGTTCAAATAGTATGAAAATCGTTTCCCTTCATAATAATATATTGATATTAAAACAGGGACAAAACGAACATTTAGTGCATTTTGATCTCAAATGCCACCGCAGCGGTGGATTTTCGCGAATTTGTTATATCATTCGACAGTATACTATTTTTCCCGGTAAGAAATGTGACAACGCTTACACATGTGTGGGGTATAAACCTTGTTTTGTTTTTCTACATGCAAAAATACCTTGAAATTTTATATACTACACAGTTACTATATTATATCAGGGGTCGAAATTAGATTTTTATTATGGTATCCATTCTGGTATACCCCCCAAAGATCTGGTATCCCATTTTTTGGATAGTAATTTCAATAATTTTGGTATCCAAAATCTTGAAATATGCAATAATAGCATTTGAAAATTATTTATATGTAATGTAATTATTATATAACAAGTGCCGCATAGCGACAGCGCTCATCTAACGTCGTCACTGCGTCCTCTGTGGGAGTGGTGGCGATCTACGTAAACTCCTGTTAGTCCCAAAGTGTTCACATACAGCTGCTCGCTTGAAATCCAGTGGAATCACAGGGATGGTGTTCAGGAACGCTTCATCAAAAAATTTCGTTGGGATCGTTATGAAGGTTGCCGATCAGAATGGCGCGTACGTTTAAGTGTCTTCAATAAGATGGAAAGCTCCCATCATAACGTGTAGCAACAACTATCTGCAAACAGAATAGGTAAGCACTTCATCCATTTACGTTACTGCAAGCCTACATGGCCTTTGCGCAATAGAGAGCTGCTACCTGTAAGCGCAATTAAGGCAAAAACTCCCATACCACAACAACTGCAGCTGGCAGTAGCCACTGGCAGTCGCATACGTTAGCATGTAACATACTGAACTTAACAGAATGCAATATAAATTATACGATTAAGGAGCATAAACCTTCTTTAAACGTAAAATTTACGCTTTTGAAATTTCACTGTGACATTGTACCTCATACATCCAGGCATTATAGATTCTACTAGCAACCCGGCAGTCAAATTCTTTCTAACAGACAGTCAACAAATCCATTTAACCCTCCTCTGAGGTCAAAAGTTATCTGACACTTACTCTTTCGCATGTCAGCAGAAATAGTATTCATGGTCCTTTCAATAATGTCATAAAAATCGCTAGGTCACCGCTGAAACAAAAAAGTTTTGCAATCGCCCTCGTCAGACCATATCCTCAGAAAATGGTCTAAATCTGCCCTGTGCCCATTAGACCACTTTGACCTCGTGACCTCCAATTTCGGCACCCAGGTGATGGCTGTTTCCTAACCATGATGCGATACACCGACTATCACAGCCTAGGGTCGAGTTTGACCTTTGATTTGTGACCGCAAATTCTGCATTTCCTCCTATACCTTAAGTTAAGGAGTGAATGTCCCCTTTCTTTTACAACCTCTTCGACCTGACCTTTACCCCCAGCTTCGACAGCCAACTCGTTTTGCACGATCAACCTCCAATGTGCCGAAATATCGTGACGGACGTCAGCGTTAAATTTGTGCCCAACTGTTGACGGACGGACGACCGGACGGACGATCAAGCGATTCTACAAGCTGCATCTGACTATGTCAGATGAGCTAAAAACATGAAAACATTGTCTAGTCGCATTGTCTGGTTTGCTTGATACAATGTATACACATCCCGATTTTGACGATTTTTTTTTTATTATCCCGGCGGGATACCAAGCATTGAAATCTGGTATCCAACACAAGAATCCACTATCCTGCGGATATCGGGATACCGCAAGTTTCGACCCCTGTATAATAGTGTATATACCGTTAGCAAAACGGTAAACTAACCTTGTTTCGATCTACGCCTACTAGTTTACCTTCTAGTTTTACGAATTTACCTTGAGTCTCAAAACTCATAATTTCACGTTCGAATCAACGGTAGAGCATTGCATTCTTTAGTTCATGTATGACTGGGGTAATATAGACTGTCCCTGTTTAATTTCTAGGTAGGTAGTGCCTGCAATCTGTTGGAAATCAGAGTAACAAAAACCAATAATCTATCCACGAGCTGACCCGTGGATCCGCGGGGAACGTGTTAACAGATAGAACTTTCCTCACCTGGCTCGCCAAGCTGGTCAACAATGATCACTTTGTCATCCTCGCTCATGCGGTAGACTACATATTTATACCTTCTACGCAGCTTGATATCCTCATACACCCTGAGGCACTCATCTTGGACTGCTACACCAGAGGCCTATAAAACAAGCAGAGCAACGTTACACAAATAAACACTGACCTGCATATTTATCCATTTATTTATATCTCAACACGAATGACCTCTAAAAATGACTATACCTTTCTTAAAATTTTGTAGAATGCCAAATTTTCAGGATTAGGGCAACTAACATATATATATATATAACAATCTTACTCCTGTCTGGCCATGATAGAATAAGATGCCCAAGTTAGAGGTGTGAGAGTGCCAGTCAGTGAGGCATCACGCAGACCACTAGCACTAGAAGTGATTCACACACCCAGGATGAGTACTATATTTGTCCATCATCGCAAACTGACAACATTGCTTGCCTGTCCATCTGGCAAACCTTACAACTGCAGTTACAACACACTAAATTGGCTATAACTGTTTATGAGGTTACTGACTCAATATGGTACACATGGTATTATGTTACCTTAGCACTTACTCTAGCATGAGTCTAAACGTTTGGGTAAGAGATTTATAGTTACTTCACCAAATAGTTGCTAGTTATAATTATCACTTGAAATTACTATAAGAATAAGTAAATTAATTTTATTAGCCAGAACAAATTGCATATCTGCAGACCGTAGTTTGTAAATTTGCACAAGGGTATTACAATACATATATGCATGTAGGTGCAGCAACACCAAATGTTTAGCATGTTTTGTAAGTTATGTGTCACAAATAACATGACTGTAAATTTTTTAAATATGAATTAGTGTACTTTCGCTTTCATATTTAGCAGTGGAAGTCAGAACATAGGATAATTAAGCCACACGTATCTTAAAATAATTCTGAGCCAAAGTAATAAGTAGGTTTGGGAATTTACTTATTAACCATGACTGGAGACTTAAAATAAATTTGGATATATAAAGTTTAGAGTGGCACTTAACACTGGGATTAACCAGAAGCTTGTAGTTGTAGTAAGATACAAGACTAACCACATACAGGCACAAAGAAAATGCACATGGAAGAAGTACGAACCAGCATTAGGTGAAAGCCTTCGTCAACTCTACAGAACAGTAGGACCGAGGCAGTGGAATTCCTCCACTCTTACACACTATATCTTGTGCACAAGCACACACAGCACTCCTGCTATATTACTTAAGCCATTGCTATAACTTCCTCAGTTTATAGTAGTGCAGATCTGTTCATACCAGTTCAGCCCAACCAAGCTGTTCCAATAATAGACTTGCTGGTGGGCTTTCACAGAAACCTGATATACACGCTAAATGGCAAAGGCTACTACTGCCTGTGCAGTGAGCCTAGGCCTACTTCCAGCCTTCAGTTTCTGTCACTGCATGAGCGCACCCAGTCCACTAAACTATTTATCTGCTTCTTTGGTCATTACTTACTATAGAACCTGAGTAATGCACGAAAGATTTATATGGAATAACATACTCCTAATAAGCTTGAAATTTACTACACATAACACATACACAGTGGTCTATAAGAATGGAAATAAAATTACTAATTATGGCATTTTATAGAAATACAACACAGATAACCAGAGATAACATAGAATAAAATGTCAGAAATAACTAAGAAATTCTATAAAATGTTAACCTATATATTATAATACATGAAAAATGCTATAAACTGTGATACTTATAACACACACTGACACAGTACACATTGGACGACAGTTACATATATAGTATTTACTATTATGCTTGACAACAGGATACAGGTGTGTCTATCATACAGAATAACTCCAGTTAGCGTGGGGGGGGGGGTAAAGTTCATGTTTGCACTACACGGTTAGTAGTCAGAACTGGATCTCACTGCAGGGTGCGAAATTAACGCGAGTCCGGAGTCAAATACCGCCTGATTTACTGTCGGACTCCCTGATTTGACATATGCAGGAGTCGGTGTGACTCCCTGAAAATTCTGCTATACTAACAGTAACTAGTTCATTCCAGAGAACAGCCTCGTGGAATTAACGTATGTTTTCAGCAAATGTCGAAAGACAATTTGGCAGACGTGCAACCACATGAATCTTCAAAATAAGCACATGTATGCGTTATTGTTGTTATGCTTTAGTTTTGAACTTAAGACTGCGGACTCCCTCATTTTGCTGGGGACTCCCCTCTTTTTGACGGCAGGAGTCCGCAGGACGCCCTTGCTCAAAAGTTAATTTCTACCCCTATCACTGCCTGCTTGACATCAATCTATTTCTCCTAAAACACCTTAAAATTTCTTGTCAACCCATCACACTTGTAGCAAGATAATTACAGTATCCATACCCCCCACTGTGTGCATTTACAAAATGCCACTAGAATATAATTTACTAGTTTTGTAAGACTAAAGGTCGAGGGTGCTGATAGTGCTCGCTACAAGTGTAACTGACTGATCGAGCAAGAGAGGGAGAGAAAGAGAAAAAAAGGGAGAGGGTGGGTGCAAGGGGAGAGAGGAAGGAAAGCAATGAGGGAGCGAGAGGCTCAGGGAGATGGCGCGACAGAGAGCGAGAGACAACGACAAAGAGGAGTGATATGGGTAAAGTGGGAATGAGATGGGTATGTGTCTATGTAGGGCGGTGGATGGGTTCGGGGTGGAAAACCACATATCCATATCCAGCACTCATGGCTGAGCTGTTAATAACCCATGACTGTTATCAAAGTACCCAGCTTTTTGGTACCACTTTCAGTTACAATACTAGGGCGACAACCGGGTAAACGCTGAACAGAAATAATGTCAAATGCACGACATCTACACAAAGCAGTGATATTCCTTCTCTCAATTTAACAGAGATCATAGGATTTCATACCCACCCCACCCACGCACGACAGAAACTACTAGCTAATAAAAAATGACAGTGCAAACAGTACCACAACTAAGCATTAGACCAATTGCATGAGTGCTAGTACTAAAAATAACTTCACCCACTACAAGAAATTGTAGAAAGAAATGACACTTACTGTTATTATACAGTGCTCGAAATAAGCGTTGTCCGGTTGTCCGAGACAACCAGAATTTGCGCCGGACAACCTAACCAGTCTGAGACATTGTCCGGTGGACAACCAAGAAACACTATCCCTAACCCTAACACTGACTCTAAACCGACTCGGCTATCTTATAAGTTATATATACGCGTGGTACCCAATTAATCTATGGTGTATAACCTTTTGCTTTCAATATTTTGCATCTGAACTGACAATCAATCCCAACCAACTGGTGTAGGCTAGCTGGCACAATAATGTTCAGTTTCATACTTCAAATCCGAGTGTTTTCTAGCTCATCAAGAAATCTTAATCGTAAATTAAATCGTGAATAATATAACAAGAGCCGCAGAGCGTCTGGGCTCATCTGAGGTCTGTTGCTACGATTATAAATGTAAAATTTCAGTCGTGCGTAGTACCACATTTGTTAGGCGCAGATATGCAGACACGCAGTTGCGTACACATCATTGTTAGGACACGCCCACTAACGCAGATGGAGGGTAGGGGGAGGGTGGGGGGAGGGGT